CAATTTAATGGTCATTAGAATGTATCTATTTTTCCTTACTCTATAATCTCTCTCCAAGAAAGATCAGTTATCATCTGAGAGTTATACGAATCAATGAGGGCTCTGGTACACAGACTGTGCTGTATAAGTACTTGATAAACCATTGGATTTCCCCCTACCTCAGTGTACTGCTGGGTGACAAGCTCTGGAGTTGGCCCCAAGAACACATAAAAGTCCAGAACTCCCCCTGTGGTACGATATGTCAAGGCAGGCAGGGGCTGGAACGTCACATCTGAAAATGAAGAAAAATGCTAACACAGCTGGAAACCTTCCAGGTTAGGAATTGTATCTGAAATCTACACCTTCTCCATTTTCCTGTACCCTATCACAGAGTGGTAAGAAGAGGCATTTTTCATCATATACACACAGAACTGAAGAAGTTAAGTGGAAGTCTACAGTTCCCATTCCTGGGTTTGTTTCCCTTTGGTGTACTTTATGTTTGTCTTTCTACTTCTAAATTTATTATTCTTACATTTCAACTTTTATTGTACATATGGAGATACAAGTGCAGGTTTGTTACATGGGAATATTGCATGATGCTAAAGTTTGGGGTAGGGATCCCACTACCCAGATAGTGAGCATAGTATCTGATAGGTAATTTTTCAACAAACCATACACTCTTATACCCCCAGACTAATTTCTCTGACGCATAGTTGTACCCTCATTCGAATTATGTAACTGGCTCCCACCTCCAAGATATTTGGGACACACTTGGTGTTACTATCCCTTTTTATGTAATGTTTGCCAAAACGAAAGTTGTGTTAAATCTTCTTATCATATGACATTAGATTGAAATAAACAGAAAGGCTAAACACATGAAAAATAAAACACAATGCCCGTAAAATGAAAATTTTCACTTCAAAAATCTATTAGGCCAAACACATTCTAAATTGACTCAAGAATGACTTTTACCCCCCAAAATAAGAAAAGTGCTAGATGGCCTTACCCATGGCATTGCTGTTCAGCAGGAGCACTCCATGGGCACTGCCGTCCTCCTCCAGTCCCATGTAGTAGGGGTGGACACCATAGGAATTCTTCTTGTACTGGGGAGTCATGGGGAGAAGCAGTAGGAGTTTAAAAGACATTACACCTGAGAATGAAACTCAACAAAACTGTGCTTGCTAAGATGGGTCTCGTTTTCTCCAGGAAATAAACACGGGAAACAAAGGAGCCTGAGAATTGGTCCACTCGTCTAAAAGCAGAATGTGACGACCAAGTGGAGTTTGGGAAGATGAACCCCAAAGCATGCTCAGCGGAGGGGGAGAGAAGCAGAGACACAGAACCCAAACGCTCTGTCCTTACCCCTGGGGGCTGGTCTCGGGAGAATATCCCCCACGTGTGCCAATTCAAGTCTCTCCTGTAGGACGTGTGCTCAGTTTCCCCAAAGCCATAGAGGTACTTGGAGGGAAGGCGGGTGGAGATGCGGATAAACATGTCATTGAAGGT